AGGGGAGGCTGGGCTTCTGCCGCTCCCTTCATTGCCTTATAAAGTGGGTGTCCTCGGAGTGGGTCGCCCCACGTCACAAGGACACAGAAAGTGCCACAAAAGGAGAATTAGTTTGTATCCCAGCATCTTAACAATAAAGATCAAATTAAATCATATAATTGATAGCTTATGTTTGGGATTTTTACCAAGATAGTAAGACTGTCTATGGATAGAACAGGGGAATTAAACCCCAATTATACCACTTTAAATTCACACACACAACACAAATTCCCACTGGTATTATTCTTTAAGTAATTTATCAAGACTGATGATGTTCTTGTAGGCTGATTCTGCAACAAAGCAACCCGATAGAGGCCAGTCTGTCCCGGCTTGACTTTTTTATAATGTAGTAACAGCATCATTGTGGCTGGATTAGTATGTATCACATACAGTGCTAGTCTGCAGATTGGAGAAAACTGGATTAAGTGCTCCCTGCGGTGCGTGCACTGCAGGCAGCAGAGTTGGGTCTAAATCTTATGAACAGCCATGTGTTGATTCAGCCACTAGAGGACGCGGAGCAGAGAGGAAGAGGAGTGGACACTGACCTGAACCTCCTGTAGAAGGAGCTGCAGTGATCCTCGGGCAGATGAGAGGTGCACGGAGCACTTCTGTGACATTTGCAGGAGTTGCACCAAAGAGTCATTTTGCCGCTGATGTTGCCACCTAAGGTTAAAAAAAAAAAAAACACAGGTATGAGACCCAGGAGGGATGTAATAAGTCCCGGGTAAAAACTGATCAAACAGTTTGGACCTATAACACAGAAAGTAGACCCCCATGTGAGGAGGAACTACCCGGCTTCATCCCCTACCTCTGCAGGATCCAGTCTGGGTGATGAGTGTCAAGCCCTCGAGTACGTCCCTCCTTTTATAAGCTCAAACCCGACGCCTCTCATCCAACTCAGCCGGCAGGGAAGGGAAAAAAAAAAAACTCAAAATGGGATAATGTTACTTGTTGTGACGCGATGACAAACGATCGAGGCGGGTTATATTTAGTGAAATGAGCCCTAAAAATAACCCGTCAGATAGACGCAGGATCCGATTCGGTGAATTAAAGGGGTGTGATGTGTTAATAGAAGAAATCTTCCCGTGCGCATATAGTCCGAAATATGTCCAAATATGATGTTAATTAGATAACATATATAGTAGATAATGTTGATTTTGAAGCCCTTTTATTAGCACCTTATGAAGCTAGAGATAAACACTCATATAACTCATTAGGAGAAAGCTTAAAGTCTTAATAAAGTGTTATTATTGTTCTTCTTCTTCCTGCAGCAGCTTTGAGTCACACGTTATTAGCCCACAAACACACACTGACACTGAGGGACTATTTCCCAGGCTGAGGGCTTAGTTCACACCATGTTTTAAAAAATTGATTTTCACTCAAAACAGCCCTAACTTTTTTACGTTTTAGTGGTAAAGACACCAGTAACCCTCAAGTAGAAGTACTCAAATACTCAATTACAAATAAAAGTTCAGCATTTAATATCCTACTTACATAAAGGAACAAAAGTATTATCCACTAGATGTAAGCTACTAAAAGTATCAAAAGTAAATGTATTTGTATTGCATAAAAATGTCCCATGTGACTGATATGATAAATTACATTATTAATACTGGTACATCTGTGTGTAAGCCGCATTTTGTGGCTGCTTGAGGTGGAGCTGGTTTAGTTACTTTATATACACCTACATACATACATATTGGATCATTTGAACTGTTAAACCAAACAATGTAAGAAGTTTAACTGGTTTAACTGCTTACTACTCAAAAACATTTAAAACATGACATGGTTTACAAACCGTATGTTAGGTATATTTAACAATGTGTTATATTTTATACACTATCAAAAGTAGTAGTAGTAAAAGTAGTAACTAAATCTATTTAGTTAATGTAGTGGAGAAAAAAGTAGCATAAAGTTGAGATACTCAACTAAATAAAGTGCAGGTACCTCAATATTGTACGTTAGCAAAATACTAAGCAGTACAATTACATTTATTGAATGTGTTGTTCTGACCTAATAAAAAACGAATAAGAAAAGTATTGAAGCATTAAATCTTCCCTTTGCCGCAAACTGTGCTTGCACATTTAGTGAAGGTGATACAAAATATAATAAAGCATTATCACCACATCAAATAAGGAAATAACTCGTGTTTTCTATTATGCTTCATGGACTATGCAAAAAAAAAACACAGTATGTCATCTTACATAGTGACTTTAGAGTCAATTATTTCCTGTTAGATCTCTCCTGAACACACACTTTTACATACGTGGAACATAATGACAATCTACTGTATGCAACCATGTTTTACAGCTGAGACCACACACAGAAGTGATGTGTAGTTTTCTGTAAGACTTCTGAAACTGGTGAATAGTTCAAACAGGGCCCGGGGTCTTCAGGACCCCAATCAATACATTAAGGTTAAAATATGCTTTACGGTTTTATACACATTGGAAAAAGTGATGTGTGCTGTATTATCTGCCTTACTCTATCGTACCTTGTGAATAAGTGAAAATAAAATCTATTTTCCTTGTGGAACATTAAATAGAAGCTTTGACACTTATCTGTAATTTATCACTGCATGACTATTACCTTTTTTTTTCCTGATAATGGTTTTGCAGTGAAACAACCTGACGTCAATGTGCCCACTAGGTTGGCTGTAAAAAGCACTGAGACAACCAGCCCCCGTCTCCCCTACACATACAATAGTAAAAGTCAGTAAAAAATAATATCACACAATAATAACATGGAAGGTGAAACACTGTACGAAAAGAGGCATATAACAGTTATTTTTCATTAGGCACTTTGAAAGTTAAACACAACAGCCTGAGCTGACAGCTTCAGAGTCATTATCATTCAAGTCTCAGCAGAAAACCAGCTTGCTGCATCATTGTTTAATTTCTGAACAGACTTCTGAGGCAGTCAGCTATGGCAGTTTATCTTCACAGGGCTTTAACTGCGCGTGTATTAGTCACTCAATTAAACCCCAGTTGGAAGGGAATTAAGCTACAGGTCTGCAAACATGACGCACTGAGGCTGAGAGGCTCGGTCACTCACACAAAATCACTTCCTTTAGCAGATGAATAGATTACAGGCATCACAAAACATGACCAAGGCACACAAGAAACCCTCCATATTTCCGAAAGGCTGCCACTTATCGTAGAGGAGTTACTTTTGGGAGCATGCCTGCATGGATAACTAAAGTTCCCCTGTTTCTCAGTGTTTTGAAATAGTGACTTGTTGCTTTCTTTTCCATCATTTTTGAGTATAAGTTATACAGCTATGTAACTATCCTCTAAGGGCTCGTGCTCCTTTAATGCCTCTTTTCTCAAATCCCCAATTTAGTGGCCTCAGCAACGCTGGGAGCAGAGACCTAGAACTTGAGTGAGGGAATTACACAGGGTTGGGGGGGGACAAGACAAAACAAATCACTCTGAACAAATCCTCAGTTGGATTCTCAAGGGCCAGTGGGAACGTCTGGGTCCTGAAGGGAAATTAGAGAGTCATTTGGGCTGCATTAGCGCCTGCGTTTGTTGGGCTGAGGCAGGCTCCGGGGCCAGACACAGGGACCCAGCGCGGCCCTGTTTCCTGTGTACGGCGGGGCCAGGCGGGACAGGGTGTCTCTGCTGCCTCACTTTAAGCTGACCCTCCGTCTGTGGCTTGCACTTAACACTGCAGATAACACTGGCTTTATAGCACGGGGCTGGTGACAGACAGGAACAAACTGCCAGGCCGCTACTGGTAGCAGAGGCAAAGATTGGAGCTGGGGTTCAGGGTGAGACACTTTCTAATGATGGGACCCCCCCGGAGCAGCCGCACGCGTCCCATTAGGTAGTCTGTCAGTCAGTCGGGGGGGTTGGGTGGCACCATGGCTTCAGAGTACCCACTGAAGTAGACGGTGAGGGCTATCAGACAGGCCGGCTGGGGTAGAGTCAGCTCTGGATTTCAGCAGGAAGCAGAAACTGGGGGACTGCAGGGTTCAAAGACCTGCTATTAAGTGCTACATACAGTAGCTCCAAGGAGTCCACACTCCATAAAGAGGTGGAAATTAGACACATCTGGTTTGTTTAACCAATTCATTGAGTCTGAAATGAATGTTGATGCTACAAACTCATTAACAAATGACTACTCATGAAGGTTTGTCATGATTATCATTTATGATTTTTTTTTTTTTTTGCCATCTGATTTCGTTTCCACAAGTCCAACTGTGTGCAATGAAGTCTTCATGATTGTGAGCTTATTATTTTACTCAGAGGCTTATTGTTTGTCGTACTCGCAGATACAAGGTGCCCAGTGTAGAAAAGGGGTGTTGGGCTTCAATTGGGTTTGGTTTTGTATTTCAACAAATACTTTATTCACTCCTACAGGCTGAGCAACTCCTCTTTCGATATCCTCTTTGTGTGTTTAGTAAAGATTTTATTGTTGGAGGGGAATGACACAGGGCAAACTACACAAAAATAACCAATTCCACACCTCCTGTGGAGCAGTCCTCCATGTCACCCTTTCTTTTAGGTTTACAAAGACAAAAATATCTGTGTCAGGTTGAGGTGGTAAGTCACAGTGCTGTGGGTGCATCTTCGTGCAGCTTGCTAAGTGTTACCTGCAAAATAAAAAGCCTGTTTTAGCATTTTTCAACCTTGCTATAAAATAAGACTGTGGAAAACTAATTAATCCAACTGATTTAACAACAAATTCTAAAAGGTATTTAATTGCCTGTTGGAGTTTGGCCAGCATTTTGACACCCGTGGTGCAGAGAGTCTATTTGCACAGGCAAAATACGTATGTTTTTGTCTTTCCAACCTTGACTGTGATGCATCAGAGTGCACATGAGTGTGGTCAGTTCAGTGTTAACCAAATCCAAACAGCTTTAGAAATCGTTGACCTTAACAAGTTCTGAAAACAGAATCTGTATGCAAAGAAAATGAACGTATACCAGATTTAAAATAGACACAAATGTTACCAACTCAAATTGTCTCAGATTTATTATTGATACAGTTATAAAGCATATTGCACAGGAAGTCCTGACCACCTTGACGGATACAGAGTCCCCTCTGAAAAATGTGTAAAATATAAAATAAAAACAGTGAGCAAAGGGAGCCTGCACAGTTGTAAAATGAATCCAAATACACTCCATACTTTGTTCTGGGTTTTTTCCTTCCAAGCATTGATTGTTGTTTATGAATAATACAACCATCTACTGTAAGCCCTGAAGACAGAATACACTTCTTGGTATGAAATCAGTCCGGTCCCAAACTTCTGCTTGGCTAATAATTACTGCTCACCCTGAAAACTGTATAATGAGTTATAATAATCTATTAATGCACTTTTCTTGACCAGAAGCGTTTTTGTTTGTTTTTCAAGGTTGACAAACACGGTTTCACCCTGTGAAGTTTGATCAACTATTTGCTAAAACCGCCTTACAAAGTTAAATGAGAAATAAGAGAGGGTCGTCAGAAACTGAAGTTTTACATCACTGCCATTAAAAATGTAATGCAAATATGTTTTAGGCAAAATCCCTACCGCTTGTCATTAGCATTGCCTTACTGGAGGTAAGTGAGTGGTCATCACTGAGGAAATTTGTTGTGCAGGTATTTTATTTTTGACCATAGTGTCTACATTGTCATTTACTTAATATTTACTTCATGTCATATTCCTGAAAAGTTCTTGACTGAAAATACCACCACCCATAATCTTCACACGCAACAAGAAAAGGAAAGGAAAAGGAAAATCCTGAAATAAGAATGACTTCCACACCACACATTAGAAAAAAAAAAAAGAAATAAACAAATATCATCAGTTTGCCGACGGCCATTTGGTGTTACATAAAGTTTGATTTGTTCACAAGTAGGTTTGAACACACAATTAGCTTCCCTGTGGTTTCACTGCATTAACTGTTGTATAGTCCAAGTAAATGGGGTACTGAGGAATATCAAGTATATGATATGTCCGTGTGTGTGTGTGTGTGTGTGTGTGTGTGTGTGTGTGTGTGTGTGTGTGCAGAGTAGAGGGCATAAGACTGCGTCACATTGGCACCACCGGTCTGTAATTAAAACTCACACTTGGTTTGGGCAGGCAAACGTCTCAAAGTCTGGAACTCTAGGCAAAAAGCAGCACCGACATGTCTCCTCTCTGTAAGGCCTGACATGCCACGATTGGCTTTAGTGCAGTTATCTGGTGACTTTAACCTGCATTTAAGATTGTTTTACACTGCTTCACATGAAATACACAGATTTTGTAAACATTTATGGTGTAGGTCAGTGTTATCCAATCCTGATGTTTGGGACATGGAGCCCTGCGGGGATTCATTCTAACCAGCTAATCGGGGACTGATACGGATTTAATTGAACTCTCTGGCAGGACAGAAAACAACAGCACAAATGGTCCCAAAGACCAGGACTGAAAAGCATTGATGCAGCTCACAAGTGTGTGGTAAAACAGTTCCTATTCACAACAAAACAAATAGGCAGTATAAATAAAACTTCTGCCAGTATATTCATCCTCACCAAGTCATTACTTTTAATGTCATGCCATATTACGTATTATTCTCATTTATAGGATTCAAAAGATAAGTGATATTTTGTATTTTTGTCAACAAACCTCATAAAAAAAACAAAAAACAACCTAACAAGTATTGTCTGTGTCCAAAGCCTGATGCATCTTACTCTCAGACTTCCACTTTTGTCCAAAAACTATTTGAAAAAATACATAAATGAGCCACAGCGATGCAGTGGGTGACATGTTTCATGATAGGAACATGGCCACTTTAGTTTAAAGTTAAGTCGATCCAAAATACACTCTCCTGCTGCTGTAAGGACTCAAATAACCAAATCTACGACTGACAAAAGTACCCAACAAAATCTCTATTTGCTCCTGTTACAGTAACAATTGTTAAAAACTACAGTGCCCGGCTGTTTTAAGGTAGGTTAGTGTAGACAAAACAAATTGTAGGTTTTGGTCTTTTTATATAATTTGTTGACTACATAAAAAAAAAAAAATACAGAATATCACCAACCTTATGCTTTACCTTTAAGTGGGTGGAGATAAAAGGTTTAAAAAAAGACCACCACCACTGGTGTGATTTCAAAGTTTTGTTCTAAAATGTTCAATTAGTATTCATAAAATAAAACCACACAACCTGAATAAACATCCCCAATTTGAGCTATTCCAACTAAACTTTAAGCTGTTTGGTGAGTGTGTAATCTAATAAACAGCCCTTATGCTTTTCCAACATCTGCTCAGGAGTAGCTTTGCTCGAGGTCATACACAAACACATCCACACTTTCCTGGGTTTTCACTGCACTCTGGATGAGCAGGTCACGAGGAAGAGTCTCTGAACGCTGTAGGATTGTCTATAAGAGGAAACAACTACATTATGCATATTTGTGATGATCTCCCCCACAACAACAGGCAAACCGAAGCGGGGTGGGCTGGGATTACGTGTAGACGGGACCACGTGCTTACACACATACACAGTATATATTTGCATCGTGATTCCCTTCTACATTTGGCACTGAAAAACAAACTGCAGGGTAAAGGTAGGTTGGGGTGGCGGGTGAGTCTCACTCTTCCTGTGGCGCTACGGAAGAATACAACAGACAACCACAAATACAAACTTCCCTGTGAAAAGGCTTTGTTTTTGTTTTTTCTTCTAGTGGGAAAGTAGATGTCCAATGTATGGGAAGTCTTTCTAACGACTCAATGAGACATGCTATTGAGGGAGGTAGATGGACTTGATTATTTTACAAGGTGGACAGGCAGCTTGCTTCAGTCGCCTTGAAATCACCTTCGAGACACTTAAGAGCAGTGGGGTGCTAGCCAAGTTATGGTGAAGTGGAGAGAAGGGTAAGCATCGAAAGCCAGTCAAACAGAACCTTTCACAAGCATAACATCCCTAAATATCTTGTACCGCAATACGCCGTCTCCTTGCATTTAACACCAAAGTTATAAATTAACCCCATCCACTCCGTATACTGTGTACATAACTTAATATGCTGCTAATGGACATGGTAGTTTTTACATGGTTTTATGACCATGTTAGAGCTGCGAGATATACAAACTCATGACCATCAGTCTCTTCGTATCTGTAACAGAAGGTTCATATCTGTTGAGTGTGACATCAGGGTGACATCCTCAACAAAAGAGGTTAGCTCTCAAGACCTTTGGCTGAAGTTCTTGTCCCTTCCTGTGCTTAAGATTAGAAGTCTATGATTATCATAGGCTGATTGGATTTCTAGAGAGACTAGAAAGAAGAGAAAAAAGGTGTCAACAATTTCTGTCTCATGTAACCAGTGTCTTAAGGGTTAAAACATCCTTTGACAAGAGAAAGCTCACGGTGTCCAAGGAAGTCACGCGCAGGATAGTTTGGTCGGTGATGAGTTTTCACTTGACGATTGTGGAAAATAAATCCGATACAGATCCAAACTCTACAAAAACCAGTCCGCCGGAGCTCGGTTGATTAGAAAGATAAAAGCCTAGTGTCCTGAAACAGAGCGAGGAGTTCTGGTTCTGCTTCACATTCAGCTGTGTCAACCGTGTGAGGAGAAGATGGGCCTGCTGATGTTGCTGTTGGTGGTCATGGCGGCAAGTTCCCATCTGGAGTGAACAACAGAAAGCATGGGTAAGAATCTTAGGGTACACATTCACAATAATTAGTAACAGTTATTAGTAACTGGACCTAGTATTGTATAAATAGTGACCAACAGATAGAAACAGCCCAAAAACATGCATTAAGGCCCATAAACATTATCTTCGAGGTGTGTGGTTTCTACATTTCATCATTTCTACTCACTTTTTCTTTTTCATTAAATAACTGCCTAAATAGATGGGGCATGAGTTACCATGGTTACCAAATGGTCTTGCATAAATATAGATAATACATCACTTGTTCAGATTATTCATAAGCGGTCACAATCCTGATGCTTTCATCAACTTTTTTTCTGATTCAGAAACATTTGATGGTTTGAAATCCAGCCAAGATGCTAAAATTGTACCTCAATGACACTCAATTAAGTCTCTTCGCTCCCCCCCCCTCCTTGTCTGACTGAAGGGCTACGATGTGGACAAGGATGAGGGAGGGCCCTGCTGTAACACGAGAACCAGGAGCAGGGGCTGACAACAGGGTCTAGTGCTGACCTGCTGACAGGTCAGAGGTTGAGCTTCAGATTGTTATCACTGGCTCTGGTTTCACACTCACTCCCTCTCAATTGCTCTGTTCGTTTTTTTGTTGTGCACGTGTGTGTTTAAGAGGGGAGACTGGCATTGGAGCTGGACATGCCAGTGAGGGGCAAAGGGAGTTAACCAGTGTCTTGTGACCCCACCAGAAAAAACCCTCTAAGGGTTAGAAACACAACTGCAAACACTGAAGTGGGGAGTGTGCAAGGTGGCAGTGACAGTGTGAGAGAAATGAGAGGCTAAGAGGAGTAATTAGTATCAAGTTGCATGGGGTCCACTTGTAAAAAGAAAAAGAATCACATTAGTGCATTTCAGATGCACTTGTCTAATGAGCTACATTAGCTTGACTAAGACTATTCATAAGGTTATTTAAGGAAATGGTTATATGCTTGAAATGGACTGTGTCAACATTATTTTATAGAAAGCTAGATATTATGCTCTATATTACTGGGAAAATACATAGATTTCAATGAATGTGAACCTGTCAATAAACAAAAAACCAGTGGGAACATTTCACTTTTATATGCAAGTCCTAATTAAAGGAGGTTGACAACACCTGAAAGCTGAAGCTTTTTATTAATTATTTTATTTTTCTACATCTACGTTGCCTTTACATGCATTAAACTCTAGCTTTAACACGGTTATTACAACCACCCTGTGATTACATCGTCATAACAAATCAAAGCGGTGATCTCAAACTTTTGAGTCTCTCTAGCAAGTGTCAAAATAATTTTCAAACTTGTCAATGAGAGGGGGAAATTATGTATTATTAATCCAATTCATCACACTAGTTTCTTTGAGGAACAACATTTGCCTCCCATTTACGCTCCACCTCTGGAGTGTCTTTGAAAATTTCAAAAAAAAGGTGCTACATGTTCATTTCCTGCCAGCTTTCACTTCAATTCACTGTGGAAGCAAGTTGTTCAGTATAATTCAGGATAATTCAGATTATTTTCTTCATTCTTTCCAGACTGTGACTTGCTAGGTACCATTTTCCTGTACACCATTAGTTGTCTCTGTATTCCTTCCATGCTACAAGTTGAAAGAGAAAACCCTCTCTATTCTTCTGCATCTTACTGAAGATTGTAGGCACGGTACACAGACAATGAACAGACTGGAAGCATCACAATGACTATACTAATGTTTCATCATGATTGTCTGAGTTTTCTATACACAAACCTTGATGCTATTAGTTGTAGAAGTAATTATATACACATTTTTCATGTAGGGCCTGAGTAAAACTTACCACTAGTTAAATGAAGGATAATGATTCATAATTTGCCTCTTTGAAAAACTGCCTCATTATTGAGAGAGACAGAGTGGTGGCAACAATGACGGGCATAACACAAACAGCATGAACAACAATATGTCAATTCTATGACCAAATAGCGCTAATGTTTGAGTAGAAGAGCCTTGTCTGACCTGATATCATGTGGGAGTCCTGACTGCTCCAGACTGTACTGAATAACAGCTATTTTGCATAACGTCTTCAAATTAGGGCCTGAAAAGAAGAGAAAGTGTAATGAGTCATAGACTGATCATAGACACAAATCACACCAAGCTAAGAATATCCGTTTCTGCTGTGGGAATTCAAAATGGAGCCAGGCAGGTCAGATCTAAGAATCTGCAGATGAAAGGGGTTAGATTTCCTCTCCATGGTGTAAAAATTACCATGTTCTGTTTATACCATACCCCAGAAAAACAACAGTGTTCACATATGAGTAGATGTACAACATTATGATGCTAGAATTAATCATCTTCCTTCCAATACTTATTACAAACTTCCTCTCAATTACTATCACCGTCATGGCTGTTCCACCATATGCTCGCTGATAAACAGTGCGAAGGCACGCGCGACTGGCACGTGGAGGCGTGTGCCACAGGGGATGCCACTGGGTACTGCCAGTCCCATACGGTCCCTGTGTCGCTGTGTAAGCCCACATACACAAACCCTAACTGTGACCTGACCGCATTACAGACTACACCAGTGCAGACAGGAAATGGCTATATTTGGTAGCCTGTGAGACGGAAGTACCCCATGTGATAACACAAAGCAGGGCCAAGGACAGGCATACTAGGCCAGGTAAGAAATGAAGCAGTGGTGTAAGGAGGGTATTGGTTCTATAAAAAACACTGAGGAGATCATCGGACATAAAATACTTTATTATGTATTATTTACAATGGCAACCTGGGGTGGTGTAGGTGGATTTATACATCTGACTAAACATTTTCAAGATCAGACACCTTATTAAGTTAACATTAGAGATATAAGAGACATAGATAATGACAAGAATACTTACTGAAGTCTAAGATATACAGGTCTGAATGATCCATGAGGTTAAATTCATCACCCATTCCTTGCTCTGGACAGGGGCTGTAAAAAGAACAAAACATTTCGTTTTTTATAAAATATATCAAAACTTACAAGTAAAGCTTCAAACCTATCCAGGACAACAATACCTCCTTAAATCTGTTTGTTTCTGTCTGTTTTGCCAAGGTTGCATTCATAGTTACTTTGCTGTACTATTTGCTCCCAATTATTTACCTCGTCATCCACCCTCTTACCATCTTTTTTAAATGACTAAGGTTCATAATCAGGGAGCCACAGAATATTCCCCAAAAGAGCAGGGCTGTTAATGCAGTGCTCTGCTCTCCTTATCATGGGCTGGCATGATTTAAGCCCACAGGAAGTACAGCACTGCAGTGAGACGGCAGGCTGGTCCATGCTGATAGTCTCCCAGACCTGTGCAGCCGTTGATATCACTGCACATCTGTTTCCTGCCAAAGCTAAACACACACACACCTGTGACACACCTGGTGCACAGCAGCTTAGAAAGCCTACTCGTATCACAACTATCTTCAGTCACCATCTTTCTATCAATTAATTAGTCAAGATGCAAAACTCTGTGACTGTATAAAAAAAAACGCAACTGAAAGTAACTGCTGCAGTCTGTGGGAGTTGAACTAACATTTTAAGGAAGATTTATTCCCCCAAGGCAGTATATTCCTGTAAATGTACTCAATGCACATCATTGCTGTACATCCATAACAACAGTGCACCAAGAGACCTGTCCAGATTAGTGGATAAAAATGCACTTTACAGTTTTACACTACCCAGAGGACAGCTTCAGCCAAACAGGTGCATTTAGCAAGCAGTTTAATGTCTATAAATATCTATCATGGAGAATAACTGAGGGATTGGCCAGGTTTGGACTTTAAGAATAGCTTTACAAGGTACTTTCTGCAACGCATGGAGTGGCCAGTGGCAAAGGTCCAAAGACACCATCAGATACCACTACAGTACTCTTGGCAAGCTAGTATAAACCTTGGAATTACATTTATCACATTCCCCTTTTGCTTCAATCTCTTTCCATTTTCCCTTCTTGTCTAAATTCCTACCGAACACAATATACTACCTCCTCCACTGTCTCTTCACCCATCAATCTCTATTCCTCTTTCCCGCTGTCCTCTCCATCGCGTCTCCCTTTGCTGCGTGTTCAGGATGTTGTAAGGGTTTTACGTTGCTAATCTTCCCTAAACAAACATAGTAGTGGCTTAAAGCGGCCAGGAGAGGTGCAGAGCACGAGCGCAGTCGTCCCAGGGGGCCAGCTGGGGAAGTCATTACGCCCCCTGCCCCCCAGGAGGTGATCCACCCGGGCTTAGAGCATGAGCCTTTATCAGAATACCCACAACCACCCAAGCCCCCTGTAATCATTAGATTGCCTACTCCTGGACCTGCCATTCATTGCTGGTTGTAACATTACTGCGGTGATGAATTGTAGTTTACAATGCTGGCTGAACACTAATAAGGACTTTTTAATACACAATAAAAAAAAGAAGATGCAGCTGTAAAATCATTTGATTGATTGCTAAAAAATGCCACTTAGTCACAAATTCAGCTTGTTGAATATTACGACCTATTTAGCTGGTTTTACATCTCGTACACATACTGATTATTCATTACCAGTGCTCATTGTGCAAAGACAAAAACTGCTATACCACATTACAAAAAGGATCAATTTCTAATGTTTATAGGATGCATTAGATTCATGTGTGGAAATCACACTAACATCAGCAGTCCGTCTCCTTAACAGAAGCAATGAAAATTAGAATCTCTATCTAAGGAGCACATTGCAGTAGCTGTCAACTACTGTGCAAGCTCACATGGAGAGAAGGTATAGGCCTTGGATGATGACGCGTGAAAGGGTGTAGATAAGAGGACGCTTTAACAGGAACAACGAGAGAGAGATGAAGATTGCATTCATTGGACAAGGCTTTCTCACATGTTCGTGGATAATGTCAGCCTGGGTGTGAAATTCAGCAGAACATTAAGGAATGGTAACACTTTATTGGTCATCGCAAAAAGAAAGAGGCTGAGGGGGATTGCAGCATGGGGAAGGAAAAAAGGGGTGGTAAGAGGTGTGGTAAGATAGACTGGCAGTGGTTGGAAGCGGGAAAGTCACAGTGTGACTTTATGTGGCATCCTGGTGTTTGATGGGTCACTTTGTTACTCGATCAGCAAAGTATCAGTGTTTGTGAAAGTGCTCCTCCCCCTATAGCAGCAGTGGTTCCCAGTCTGAATGAGGCCTGAGTGATGGCGCTCCCCCACTAAAAAAAACACTGTTTGCTATTTCAAACAACACTCAATGAGGGTGTCTAATCACCCAATTGCCAGTTCTAGCAATGCACTGCCTGCTCCACCTCATTATCTTGCAAGCCTAGGTCTCAAAACGGTAGAAGAAAGAGCTGAACTGCAGTCCTAAAACTAATGAGGGAACAACATTGAGCCTGGGAACACTCCAATTTGTCTCAAGTGTCCAGGAATTTAATTGCTCACAAATTTTGCAAATTACTCCCAGAAACAGACACAATGCAAATAAACTCCATCAGTAACACCTCTGCTTTCTAAACACAAACACTGGTGTCAATATAGCTGGACCCCATCCTGTCGTAGGCATGTTTTCAGTGGCTTCATTGGCCGTATCCTCATTCTTGGAATGATATGATCTGCATCCTTTTCCTTTCTCCACTTCCTATTGAACTTTGGTCCTTCAGAACCTTCTAGCTCACAGGAACTCATCACGCACTATAACTTCCTGCAGAGCACCTTATCAGGACAGCCAGACATTTATGAAATTATTTCAGCACCGCTTTTGAGTGAAAACATGGTCAGGTAGTGATTGTACAACAAAGAAACAAGACAGCAAATGACTGCAAATGACTTCTACATAAATAGGCAACATATAAAGCCCTGCATGTTTAGTTGGATACAAGCATACCAGCATAGCTGTATGCCTTACACGTCAATAAAAAATACTGGCGAAAGCAAACCCACATAATGGATCTGATAGACAGGGTTTACTGGACTGTTAAGAAGCCTGCAGGAGTTGCCAAAGATTTTAGGGCTAAACTTTCTTAAACTAATCCACCAGACTTGGTTATCACAGATAAATTCCCGTCCATTTCTTTTGCCTTAATCTCGACTGTCTCACCTCGTCTTACCGAGCTATCTGTGCCCCCTCCTGGGCAGTGGCTGGACAGTGGATTAAGACCTATAGTTGCCCAGACCTAAGCCCCATGCAGAGGGTGAGACAGAAACTACAGCTGGCTCCCAGAGAGAGACGCCTGGCTTCAGATTAGACAGAGAAGATGCCAGCCACTAGTGAAGCATGCATCTCAAATTGCAACCCCTGTGGGCAAAATGTAGTTGGACTTGGTGGTGGTATTGGAGAGGAAAACTGGCCCCCCCAAATCTCAAACAAATATAAATTCAGTCCCCTTTATCAGGACAGGTTGTTATCAATCTAGCTTGCCTATAAAAAAAAAATAAGTAAGAGGAGCTTAAATTGTGTTTTAGGACCTTGAACACAGGTGGTTAATATAAAGTCTAAAGGGCTTATCAAATTTTCCTCTATAGCTGGCAGATGCATTTTGAAAAATTAAGTTACTTCCTTTATAGCCACAATCTGAAGACTAGCGTCAAGGTCGGCTACATAACAGGAGACACTCAGAATAGAAAATCCTGAAAGACATACAGTGGCTACAGACCATAGTTTTAGTGTACTGTGTGGTTATGGTTCATCTTCCCTTCTATCAGAATACCTTATTAATACAATTTTGCAAGTGATTACCTTTTCATATCCTGCTCTTTACTATTGCTACCAGTCTTACATTAGTCTCATATTAGTTGGATCCTTCTCTTTCTTTAACAAAAGCCTAGTTTCAGAAAGGTCTATTTAACTGCCAAGACGGGTTGTTTAAACATGACTCGCGGACCGCCTAATTTTATGTTAAAACAGTGGGCTGGTGTGCTTTGCTCGTCATTGTTTTGTCTACATAGCATGGCATTGTTCTACAGAAGGGACCTAAAACCACCAAGAGGTGTTTAGCTTGTGATGATAGTAGTAAATCGCAAGTTAAACTACTACTATTTAGACATGTGAATTTATGTGGACAACAGCATCACAAAGCGTCGCCTATGCAAGCTGTTTATTTGAGCTGCTGTGTAACACTCAACCCTATGACACCTTAATGTATACAGCCTGTTAGTGGGTTAAAGAGGGTTAAGATGCAGATGAAATACTATCAGGAGCTTGTCTTTGAAGAGTAAATCACAGTGTTGCTGTGCTGCCTGAAGGTCCTGTCCTGCCACGTGCGGGATGCCCTATATCCTGCTGGGGTCACCTCCACTGTTTGACAGGTTTTATCTTGGGCATACTGAACGCACACACACACATGCACATAGTCAATTAATAAAGGAAACTTCTGCAGCCTACCCTTTGACACTGAAGGCCAAACGACAACATGTGTGTGGCATCAAAATTTGTGGATTGTTGATAGACGTGCTATAATGGAGCCACAGTTCTACACACAGTGGCAGACAGACATTTTAGGCTGCAGGAATCACAGCCATAATGATATTTAGAAAATACTTTTCTTGAAATACCTGGCAAGAAAATGTTTTAGAATAAGTTCTGCCTCAGTCCCTTGTTGTGTTTAGTCTAACATTTGAACTGTTAAGTTCAACAGTGATAACAAGACACACTCTAACCAGCTGGACTATCATAACAGCAGCCCTTTCAGCCATTGATAAGGCGCAAAATAGCCTTGTAGGTGATATCGAGGCACCAGGCTTTTGACCTTCCTGATCTACTAAACAAAATCACTGGACTCTGCAGAAGCTCTGCGGCTCAACAACTTGCTGTTTTGAAATGACCAGTTAAGTTCCACGCAGATTAAATATCATGCTGAGATTCTGGTGGATTAAACAAGAGGTCTTGAGCTGGGATGTTTTGGCTACCAGTGAGATTACCTGCTGTATAGTCTCCCTCTTGCACAGAGTGTTTAGCAGCCACACACTCACCATACCTGAAA